AGAGACATCGCAGACTACAGACTTTATATCGGCCGATAGTTTAGTCGGGTTCTTAATCAGTACAAAGTTGTATGCAAGAGCGCACATTATAACGATTTAGAATCGGCCGATAAATAAGTTTGATGGACTACACGATTGCCTTCAAACTGAACTGTTGGTCAACTATCGGCCGACTGCTTAATCAGTATGGCGATCATTTCACGCGCGCACTCTGCCGATTTTTAGTCTGCCGACTCGGCCGATTCACCAGAGCTTTGGAGCGGGAAGGTTGTAAGTTGTCGCACGATGTCGATGCTCGTGGAAACGTCTATCGAAAATTTGATAGAAGAAATTGAAAAGAGACCAGCACTGTATAAAAAACAACTTAGAGAGTACTCTGATATAAATCTAAAGAAAAAACTATGGGAAGAAGTGTGCGAAGTAGTTATTCCCGATTGGAATGAGCTTGGTGCCCAGGAAAAAACAAAACAAGGTAAGAGCAATGGCATGAGTGCCATCAATCAAATTCATTATCAAATGAAAAATAATAATCTACTAATAATACTCTAAAATTATAATTATAATTACGTATAAGTATAATAATAGTATAATAGATATAAATATAGGTACGTACAATAGATACCAAATTTTGTTAAGTATATAAGCCAACAATTTATGCTAATTTGCGCATTGTATATACTTTTTATCAATCCTACCAATAGACAAGACAATGCGATAAGACTAAATATATTAAACACGTTTTTAAAAATAACTACTACTTATATCAAAGTTTCCACGACACAGCGTTGCGATAACGATGTCGCAGTGATTATTTTTATGTTATTCATTTTAATCTAGTTTTAACAAATAATACAACATCAGCTTACATTTAAAATGTTAGAGTATACACTATAGTAGAATTATTATACACTATAGATAATGTATAGTTTTATTTATTAGATTTTCAAAAAATGAGATTAAAAAAATTATTAAATGTGGATTTAATTGTGACATCAGATTCCGGATAGATAATTAGTTACATAAATAACTTAAATTATAGTAATTATAATAATACAAAAACTATATTACATTATAAATATAATTAAAATGAGTGAGTTTGTTTTATTAATTTACCTATAGCCAAATAGTTGTTAGTTATTACACTTTGTCATATTGACATGAAATGGCGCCTTCTGGAGAAATAAAATATGAAGACATGTACTGTCGCACACTGTCCATATTATTTCTCCCACGGTTGTTTTCATTAATTATCGTTAAGTTATCCATGGGACAATTGTAGAGAGTATCTGTAAATTTTACTCCATCTTTGATACGTACATAATTATGAAGAACACAGCAGGCTTTTATAATACGAACACAAAAATCGATATTCACATCAATTGGGCGGTGAAATATACGCCATTTGTTTGCAAGAATCCCAAATGTACACTCAACCACACGACGAGCTCTTGTATGTCTATAGTTAAAAATTCGCTTGGTATAGTTTAAATTTCTTTTTGCATAAGGTCTTAAAATGTGATTTCCAAGTCCAAACGCTTCATCACCAACGACAGAGAATGGAATGACATTTCCGTCATCATCATTTGGCAAATGCCTCCCGGAGGGAATATTAAGCTGGTTTTCAGAAAGCCGTTTTCCCATTTCAGATGTTTTAAATATTTCTGAATCACTAGCTGTTCCATAAGAACCAACATCTATGTAAACAAATTTATAATCTGCATCTGTCCAAGCCATTAAAACGCAAGAGAAGAATTTTTTGTAATTAAAATATGATGTTCCGGAATGTTCTGGTTGTATCATCCTAATATGCTTGCCATCTATCGCTCCAATAATATTGGGAAAGTTTGTGCGAGTATAAAATTCGTCAGCAATTTTAATCCAGTCTTCTTCTTGTTTGATTGCCATAAATAACGGTTGAAGTATGTTCCATATTTGCTCACATGTAGATTTAGTTATATCTCGTATTGTAGATTTTTCTGGGAAATTCAATAATTTGGAATGCAATGTATGAAATTTTCCATGCAATAATCTACTACTATAGATTGGATGCACCCAATATTCTCTATTTCTCTTCTTCATTTTCTTCATAATCCGCCTTCGTTGTATTAACGCAATAATAACATTTCTTGACAGCATTTTTAAACGAAAGGTATACTAAAAATCGACTACTATCGTCAGCAGAATTCAGTACAACTAGAAAAGTCTTTCCAGAGCAGTCGGCCGACTAGCCAAGCTAGTTTGCGTACTCAACACCAACCAAACTGTTTAGTTGGCCCAGTGTGCGCGATAATAGCCCAACCCGACTAAACTATCGGCCGATATAAAGTCTGTAGTCTGCGATGTCTCTAAGAGGACGTGATACCCAAAGTGTTACGTATGCAACGGCCGAGAGAACGCGCTATTAGGTGTTTTCGGGATCCGCAAGCGCGCGACRTCTAAGCCACGCCTACTACTCGTAGTCGGCAGCACTACTGGCACTGCTCATTCAGCGCGTCTCGGGAGCGCCGATTATTATTTCATGAACGTTTGACTGTGATGTATCCCGTCAATATAAAATTCACACAGTAAACGTCGCAGTATTATTTGTAATATCCGCGCGTACCCATTCGAACTATCTTTTTTGAAAAGTTACTGCTTACCTAAATATATGCGCCAATATATAGACTGTAAAAACAGCAACACAACATAGCTTAGTTTGTAGTTATTGCACTAGTACTCATTCAAATATAATACATACAGTAAAATATAATTTAACAGTACCTAAACAAATACATCTTTTACGTTCAACTGTTCAATATTATATTATTTTTAAGTACAGCATAATTTGCATTTTCCCATTTCTTAGCATCTTTCCGTTTATTAACAACTAAACTTAAAAAAAAAAAAATTATACAGTAGTTTACAAATTAGTAATACATGTATAAAAAAAATGTATATTATGTACAACTTGTAGTTATTATGAAGACTAAATTTTTTTTTTTTTTTTCATAATTTTAATATTTTTAATTATGTGAGGAGGTTCAATAATGTCGCTTTTTAATTGACGTTTGCTGTACTGAGGGTCTACTATTTTTTTTTAAAGTTACTGCTTACCTAAATATATGTATCAATATATAGATTGTAAAGACGGCAATACAACATAGCTTGATTTATATTTACAAATTTTTAAGGGAAACGAAGTGCACGGGATCAGCTAGTATATTTATATATACCAATTTTGGTAATCCAATAGATACGGATTTTTGTATGATTCGATTACTGGATAATTCACTTATTATTATATTACAATAATAATTATATTAAAATAAAAACAATTAGAAGGTATAATACTATGATACGTATAATATGCATATTACAATTTATTAACATTTTACATAATAATATTACTGAGATACGTCTAGTATGATTTTGTTTTTATTTTTGATGTTTTCCGATATACGTGTAGGTTCGAAAATGTCAGATATTAATAGTCTTTTTCCATACCGTGGTTCAACCAATTCTGGCAAAAGACATTCTTTATAAAATCTGTGAAATAGGTATATTATTACAATTTATTTATTTATTTTAATTTATAACTATTACAATTTACACATTTTCAATCTTATGTAATAGCTAATAGGTATTTCAATGCAACAAACTATATTGGTTAAATTGTATTATTTAAATTTTTGAAAAACATACGTCTCTAACTGAATATCCATTTTAGAATACCAAAATCTTTCGTTGTAATCGATTACGTCATATTCAATCCATTTTTCGGAGTATACAACAAAATAACATACATTCCTTTTTGTTATTTTTAATTGTCCCTGTATTTGATAATAGTATGAACTAGTTTTTTTAAATTTCATTTTCCCGTCTACAATAGTTACATAAGGTATCTGTAAATTATCAAAACAATCATATTACTAAAATATTTATTWAATTAATTAATATTCTGTATACCTTTTTAWTGTCGACCRCTGTTTGTAATTCATTCGTATCTTTGATCGAAAAAGGACATTTAATTTCCAAAACAGCTGTATCGCCAATTAAACCATCTGAGTATATAAAATATATATTTAAATATTAGTTGTATATTATATCACATTATCACCCCCAAACAACTAGTTAGTTATCGTAAAACTTTGATTTCTTAATACATCGTACTTACCAGGGCTAGCGGCTAAGTATGGTTTATCTGCGTCAATAAACAAACCACAATCCATGACTTCAGTAATTTTTCCATATTCCATCACTCGGGTTGTAAAATTACCATATAATATGTCATATACGGTTCTTTTACAGGATGTAGTTGGACGCATCTTACAAACTTTACCAAAGTTTGACGCAGTTAGTCTGTTTCTCCGTTCAATAAACCACTTTTGGTTGTTAGATTGATTTCGCGTTTCCAACTCGATTTGTTCTCTGACCGTTATGGGTAAGGCAATTGTTTGAATGAATTCAATTTTTTTATTTTTCAACTCGTCAGTAGGTAATAAATTATCTAAAGGTTGAGCTAGTCCATAATTTTCATCTGGACCATTGGACATTTTTTTTTGTACATTCCAGATGCTCGAAATAGAGCTCGGCGTGTTTTTAAATTTTTTCTTTTATCTGCAGTATACTTTAAATATTTTTTAGCAACGATTCCTACAATAAAATTAAAAATATTTATTTATTTATTTTTATTATAATTTACAATATGAATTAATTTGAAAATATAATAGAGTACCTGGACTTTTGTTAGTGATATTTTTGTGGATTTCTCTTATCAAATTACCATTTGAGTTAAAAGCTACCACAGCTGCATAAACTCGAGTAGTACCTATATGATTGCTTTTGAGAAAAATTAATTCTCTTTCCCGCGATGTGTTTGTTGATTAGGCTGTTGAATTGCTCGCAGATATTATTATCCACGTCAAGTAACAAGCTTTTAGAATTATTAACTACACGACGAAGAGCAGTGGACATTTCAGTCATTAAACCGCATTTTATGACTTCTGATACAATATTTTGCTCTCCAATTTTTTTTCCCGTGCAAAAAYATTTGTCACACTTTGAGTGTTGACCAAAAATGTGATATTGGCTATTTAAAATATCATTACGTAATCCTAAAAAAAATGTATTTAAGTTTAATTTTAAATTTAAAATTTGTAAAAACATTGGAAACTAATAATCTCGCTAATAATGTTTACCTTCAATTTTGTTATAATGTGATTCATCAATTTGATTTCTATACTTTATTGCTTTTGTTATAGCTGTTCGAAATTTTAGTACATTCTTTGATATAAATTTTCGTATAAAACCCGGGTACTCTGTTTTCCTTGTTAAATGCATTATTTTTTGTCCATAATTACGAAGTATGTGATTTCTACATTCAATTTTCTCAATTAAAAATGTAGGTCCATACGGCATAACTTCATTTAATCATTTACAAACACTACTATCTCCGTCTCCTGAAGAAAAAACAAATAAACATCATAATATAATAATATGTGATTTTATGATTCATTATAGCAGTATATTGTATAAATTTGTTGGTATATTTTATTTACTAATTAACTGTTTAAATTTTAAACCGTGCATTTTAACACTGCATAAAAATCCTTCTGCTATAGCATCGGCTTCTATGCTGGTAGCACCATTCTTCCAATTTAAAAAGCACTTGTGGGTCATGGGAGATTTACCGATGGTTTTCGCTCTTTCGCAAATCACACAGTACCGATTTCTTATTCCAATAAATAATATTTTTTTCGTCCGAAATCCAATTATAGTGGCCTGTAGAGAAGTACCAAATTATATAACTAATGTCCAATGTTGRAAATAGATAACTAAAAATGTATCTAAATTCTAAATAAAGACAAAAATCAATGTACTAAATTTTATATAGATAAATATAAAAAGGTGGGCAAGTGGATGTCGCTCTGCTGTAAATTGAAAAAAAATTATGCCTAATATGTATTTTTAAKATTTTTCATCTGCCTTTGAAACAATATATTAGCAGCTTTTTATTCAATTTTCATGCTTTTTTACCCAATGAATAAAATTTTATGGACATTTATAGAAAAAAAAATTTAAAAAGTTTTAATCTGAATATGTCCGTAAACAGTTCAAAACAAATCAAAATATTTTGAAAATTATATCGTGTATAGTAAATGCTAATATAAACAACCTGTGAAAATGTCGTGTATCTACGGTATTTTTTTTTAGAGTTACAACAAAAACCGACATCGATTTTTCTCGAAAACCGATTTTGCGTAAAAATTCCCGTTTTTCCTTAATTTTTCYCTGAGCTTTTGAAAACTATTGGGAATTTTAAATTTTGACCTCTCAAAAGTACCAACTCGATTCACTTTCCCGTCGAACAAGATACTGAAGCTGAAAATCAAATCATTATTTTGACTACTTTGTACCGTATACAATGGTTTATCACTCAATACAAATAATTTAACACATCCATCATAGTGACGAGGTGTACTCGTCATCTACTATATACAGCAGAGCTTTTTAAAAATGTATTTAAATTTTTTTTATTTATAATAACACAGTTAAATATTACCGCTCCTGAAAATGCGTCGTAGCAAAACCTTTTGTAATTTCGTTTATTAGTTCAACATTCATAAACGAACATCCTAGCCCAGGAGTATGACATTGCTCATTTTGAATTTGAAAAAATACGTGTTTCATATCAACAATCCTCCTACCACCGCAAAAACTGGTAAAATAAATTGAAATACTTACATAATTTGAATAACTTAACTCTAATAACTTACATAATTCATCATCATATATTAATTAAAATAAACATACTATGAAGTTATGGTATCTTGACTGTATTCTGTACATAAGCTATGCTCCATAACAGTCGAAATATCATTATTATATTTTAAATTCGGTGAACTGATACAATCTTTTGGTAAATTACAATTTGGAGTACTTGAAACTAGGTTATTGTTCACATTATCTGATKTAGACAGATTATTTAATGAACCATTTTCTCTAAATAAATAAAAAGTTTAAATACCAAAAAAATAAAAAATAAAAAAAATATTTAGCTACACTGAATCTAATCGAAATTCAAAGAAAAATTATCAAAAATATTTTGC